TGTGCTGTTATATATTCCAATGTGTCAATGTCATACTTGCAATACGTTATCACTATGTTACCGGCACAGATGGGCATTTTCCAAAACTAGGTCAAGCGTTTCACACAAACATTTATCAATTGTATTTCGTTAAATATATAATGACATAGAATTTAGATTCGCTATAAATTGGTTAACTCTGCACACGCAAAAGTAAAGATATATATTTTATAGAAATCATGTCATTTTCAACAATACTTTGAGATATGTTAATGACTTTTGGAACAAATAAATGACAAGAATATGTCAATTTGTTGTCGTATTACTGATTCGATTGGCATGTGAACATTGTTCTGTGCAACGTGGGACTGAGACATGTCCCACACATCGATAAAACCCACACCTATCCTTTCAAATATTTCCCTACTTATCCTGTTCATGTTAAACAACGTCCAGTCACTGCTGTGTATGTGTGACTGCACTGTATTGTGATCGCGAGGGTGGGAACTTTTCACAATGACATCCACGCCTGGACATCGTAATTGAAGACGTTGTATTGCACGTTGAACGCATAGTAGTCGTTCTAAATATGATTCTTTACTCCAAGTAGCAAAATGGTAACTCAGACTCAAAACTATGACAACGTTACACTGCTGTATGCTGTCGATGACGTCAGTCTCAAAATGTTGGTCCCGGAAGTTGACTACATGGCTACCAATCATAATGGCATGGAATATAAATTCCAGTGTAATGTTATACCGCGTGTCAGAGAAGAAACGATTGGTTGAGTTATTAGTAACGTTTTGTTGCATCATTACTGTCAAACATTCGTGCCACTGTCTGAGTGTTGAATCTCCGAGTAGGTAAACAGTTTTGTTTGTTAGGCATTCTGGTATTGTGTCATTCGTCCAGTGACTGGTTCTACATACAAGTGATGTCCAGGAAGTGTGGTCATCCCACCAACCGTTGGACTCCACGTATACAGGAAGGCGTGGCTGGCACGGCGGACGACTATTTAAAACATCTTTATTTCCTTTCGAATTGCCTGTATAAGAAAAAACGCAGTTAAATTAAGGACTGAACTTACAAATGTGATGTAAACGTCTCTGTTCGTCCATTTACAAGGTAATTGTGAGCCATTGAAACGTTCGGTTAGTTCTGAAATGTGAGCTGTATGTAACGTGGAAGAACCTGATTTGTATGCAGGTTATTGAAAAATCTAATGTTCACCAAACTCTCTGATTACCCTGTAATGTAAACGTATAATTTTATTTGTTCAAAAATAATATTCTCGTTAACATGTATAAGCAACGTCAAGCATTAATCTATTATTAAAATCATGCAATTACCTTCGATATGAACTCCCATCGGACTTCCAAAAACATCTGTTGCCAAGTATGGTCTGGATGAAATGAAACGCATATCAGTCATTCTTTTGAAGATTAATAATGTCATTATATTAATAATAATATAGCAGTTAATTGAAACAAAATAAATATATATTAAGTATTTAAATATTGGTTGAACTATCGCGTTTTAAATAAATTATACGTATTTCCGTCACTCTATTTATTCACATAAATTATGTCACATGACGGCCAAGTGTAATCTTACAAATAAACATATTTGTTCGACCTAATCATTTTCTGGATTTGTCATGTCACTTTCAGCACTCGAAAGCTTATATTAATATTCACATATCTAAAGATCAAAATAATTTAATCTGATCTGTATTCTAGTTACCCAAAAATAATAGGAGACTTTAAAACAAAACACAATATTGTTGACGATAGCGAACTTCGAAAACCAGACAAATTATTAGTGGTCTCGCTACATACATCTATCCATGGTTGCATATGCGAATAAAAATATCAATTTACTATTTTTCTAAGAAATTGTGTACTATATAATGCACGGATTACCTTGCAATACGGGAGTGTCACAATTCATCAAACAAACACATTACATATGCAATCATACCTTTCGAACATAAATTTCTGTTCTGGTTGGAGCACGTCATCAACATGTTCACCCAGGCTCTGTCTAACGGAATAAACTACATGTAGAGAGTCACATGGCAAGGTTGCCGGCCTATCACATATAAATACTGTATTCCCCAAGGCATGTTCGTTCCGATATTCGCATTTGTTTTTCCATACTCCATCCCGGATGACGTGACATAAAGATTTTTCTAATCTATCTCCCATCTTGAAGTGCCCAAGCCAATCAACATGGTGTTCGTTTGGTCTATACACTGTGTCTATCCAACGCTTAGCTTCCCTTGTATGCCACAGTGTGATTGTTATATTGGCGTATCCATGCCAACCAGCGTAAAAATATGCACTATATGTCCCATTCCTGAAATCGACTACCTTCCCACTAGTTCTCTTATTCAACTTCGTATTGTACATTACACCACAGAAAAAATCTCCTCCGATATGTCTCTTTTCACCATACATGTCATAAGCGTCAATGACAACATGAATGATTTCACCTTGTTTTATTTTAGTTGGTATTCGATCATCGGGTTGCAACGTAAACCTGGGTTAAGAAATAAGAAATACATTAGTTGTAGAACTCGGTGTGGAATTATGAATTAATTTCATGAAAGAATATATAATCCAACAATGTTGTGGAAAACGGCTTTCCGGATATTTGTTTGTAATTGATTGGAGTGTAACAGTGTGTCAATATTGACTCAGTGTTATAAGCAGGTGTGATTGGTTAATGCGAACATTTGTGGGCGGGTTTATGTTAGCGACTTTTGAAATGTATCGAATTATATTGTATTCTTATTCAAAGAAAGATCGGCAGGTCGTCGGACCTATATTACGCTAGTGTCAGTAGCCATCTTTCAATCACGAAATTTACTAAATACTAAATTTTAAAATTATCGGGGTTTGTACATTTAAAAAATATTTGAATGAGAATCAGTGGGTTACAAAAAAACATATACATGATTTTGATTTACCTGGATTTCAAGCTGAGGTCATTTCAACAGATGAAACCCTGGTTAGAAAAGGTTGTCGTGTTTTCGGAGTTGAAAATGATTTCACTTCATTCCGGGCGAGTACTTTGGATCCGACACAGTCGTGCAGCCACCACTGATATGTCGAGTAGGGACAATAATCATAATCCGTCGATGTAATGTTGTTAGTATGTAAAGCATATGGGTTACTTGATAGATCGGTACGTGTCAGCATTGGGCCATGAAGGTAGCTGGTATAAAATGACGTCACATTGTCATGTATTTCCTGTAAGGTGAAAATACAGGATGATTTCTGAACATACTATCCGTACAGAAGTGTATATACATTTCGAATATGCCAATTTCTTGAATTGAACTACCTGCAACTGTTGCAACAGTGTTTTTATATATACATGGAGATGCATGTAACAATTAACAAAACATTTATTGCCCAGTCCAACACTGACAAAATTACATATAACACTGAACACAAAAGGCCTTAGTAAAACACGTGTACACGTCGACATAGTAACACGGTGATAGTACAGTCTCGCTAAAACATAACATTAGACCAAATCATTGGAGTTGCAACACAATTAATCAATGCAGGTCAGTGCATTCTAGCGTTGAACAGGTTGACTACGAGCAGATATACGCTTAATTCACTTACAACATTTGTCAAAAATAATCCCACCACGAGTCCTACTAGGAATGCTTTAAATACCGCCAATGCATAAGTTCTTCAATCCAGGTAAGCATATTAGTCACTAATGCCTTATACAAATTTGCGATAAATAATAATACTTATATCATTTTTACACCAATACACATACTGGCTGCCTTGTAGCATATTGAAGAAACTCGTCATATAATTGCCATTTATATATATTCCAGAGTTTGACAGCTGCTTGTCGAATGTTTTTTTCCCACTGTATTGCACATCCCTCTGTTGATCCATAATGTCAATATTCCAGATATGCGATTCGGTGGTAAATATCCATTGTCATACTCTTTGTTATTTGCAGGACATTCCGAGACAGAATAGAACACGCACTGCCTAGTTGCCTTTCCCTTCCACTACCAGTGGCACATCTCTCCATCGCGCTGAGACCGTGTTTAAAGAAATGTTTCAGTAGTCGCCCTCAGTGTTGAAACTGGGAAAACGAGTCAGATACTGTATGTTGAAAGTATGGAAAGAAGAGGAAAATTATAAAGTTTAAACACGAAAACAACATGTACCCTTAATTTTGAATTATATACATGCCCTCAAAATGGCGGAAAATTCATATTTTATATCTTTAAAGACAGGTACTTATTCATTATTTTTTTTAGAAAGTTGATAAAAAGGATTGGCATTATTTAATATTTAAATTAGTACATAACTTTTCATTGAAGAATTAGTCTCCAGTGGAAACATTATGTTGTGTGGTTCAAACATATATTTTGAAACAACTGTACTGTATTTGTTTAATATTCTTGTATAGATAGAACTTAAACTGCCAACGTACGTCGTCGTGTACAATTAAATGGCCAAGTATATTGTGGCACAACACCTCAATGTCCCGTTGTGCTACTAATACTAAAGTGTTCTAGTGTCTCCCGTGTTTTCTTTTAACTCTCGATAATTTTAAGCTCAAAAATATATTTAATTGACCACCCGTACCTTGACGCTGTTCCATTTAAAATTACATCAGTAAACGTGTATGTCTGAGAAATGTACCATATAGTAACACAGGGCTGCGTGATGCAAATGTTGTTAAATATCCCTCAACTGTTATTTGTGAAGACCCCTGTGTTACATTTAGCTAGCGATGTCACATACAAATACGTGAAAATATTAGGAAAAGCATTGTAAATTGTGTTGAATCTGTATCCCAGGAAACGCTACGCGATATTAGGTGAGTGTGATTATTGTGGACACTGTAAATGGGCTGTCCGTGACGTATTCACGGCGTTCGTCACTATTTTTGATCGTTTATAATAAACACAAATTCAGTACTCACACAGTTTGTCTAAATAATCTAACAAGGAATTCATAAATGTTATTCCCGTGTATTCTGTGTCAAAATGAAGCAATTCACCCCAATGTAAAAGCTGATTGCTAGGTATTACTTTCCCAGGGTATTATGTATCACATATGGATCTGCAATTCAAATACCTGATTCAAAACTGACACATAATGTGTAATTTCAAAGTAAATTCAATAATTGACTAAATACAATCGATAAAGAGGGCGAGGGTGTAGTAGGGTGTCATTTGTGTATTAACTTAACTTCTAATTGATTTGTGTATAATAAACTAACTAAAAAAAACATAAAAATAGTATGCGCAACCAATTATTAATAAAATTGTTCTCCAGTCAAAAAATACTTCAATCACGCATAACGTTGGCAATTTTTTTGTTTTAAGTTTTTCAAGCAAAGAAATGGCATTGTAACCATAAATTGCATTTGTCATATTAACAATTCGTCCTGCCTTCACTGAAAGGTCCCTCAATAAAATGTGTTTTTTTTTAGTAATATAAGAATCGTAATTTGTGAGCGAATATTCAAGATATTGTAAAGTGTAAAGTCATTTGCACAAATGCATCACACCTGTCAGTTTATCCTTCTGCGATGAAGGAATATGTTGATATTTTAAACTTTCTATTGGATGCATTGGTATAACACGATTACTATTCTGTGGTCTGCACACAATCTGTGGGATATACCCAGTATGTTTGGATGAAACAAACTTAAGGTACGAGGGTTGGGATAATTAGAAATGGCGTCTCACGTATATAACATCTGCAACTATCATTGTGAATGTAAGGAATGTAATTAATAAAAATACAAACAATGTAAAAACTGATATGATATTGGCTAAAGTTCATTGATGCCAAATGTTCAATCTGCGTGCATGGTTCAATTGAATTTTTGGGATTTTTATTGCAATGTATGGGTATCTGTTTTATTTCCATGGAAAGAGTGTCATGAATTTGTTTTTGCGTATCTGTTAACCGACTTAATTAGCTGATTATTAGCGAATTTCTGTGTTATGTCTGTCATCGTTTAGGCCTATTTGACGTTTTGGACGGAACTTGGCTCAGTGATTTGGAACTAATTACCAGATAACCGCCGCCATTCTGACTAAGATTCTGACAGTTGGTATCCA